AAAAAAAAAAAAAAGTATCTGGAGGCCATAGGTTGTCAGACAAGTATTACTAGCGAGTGCACGGAATGCTGGAGATTGAGTTGCCCTTGTTTGTTGTTATTGATGCTGGCCTTTTTTAATTAAAGGAATATGGGTGATGTTGTGGTGCTCCAGTCCTGTTAATATTTACTTGGGAGCAAGCCCCATTGAACGCTGTGGGAGGTACTCACCATTGGCATGCATAAACTCCTTACTTGCCCAGGGATAAATCCCATCAACTCTGTGGAATGTACTGGGTAGTCATATGTGGAATTTGTGTAATGAATAAAGTTGTACTGGGACAAATGGATCACCTGGTTTTGATGCCGGTGACAGTAAAATACTTGCTTGCTTTCATTTATTATATTTTGCTGTGTCACAGAAAAGATTAATTGAAGAACTTGTAACATGTTTAGCATGGGAGGCCTATTAAAAATATTTAATAGTCTGGATGATATACGCCAATTTGAATCTTTAAATCAATATATGGAAGGCCATAAACAGTGGCTAATGAATGTCTATCCATTGTTCAAATTCCATGTTGCTGAAAGAGCTGGAGTGTATGTGAGAGATTTCAAAACCCTGGCTGCATACTTCCCAGAAATCTTTTTTCAGTGTTTTATAACTATGTATTACAGGAAAGTGTCTTTTCTTTAGCCTTTGTAAGAACACAAAAGTTAACAAATTCCATCTGTAGCTTTGGCTCAGAATGATTAAATGAGAAGGCAAAAGGATCAGTCAACCATATATAACTTTGGATTTTAAAGCTGAAGGAACTTTGTTCTAAATATAAGCAGTTGGCTTTTTGCCATTTGTGTTGAACAACAGTATCTTTGCATGTTGAGATGAGCTGCTTGTTCCAGAGCAGCGGCGCGGATTGAAATTCCAAGGACTCCCTTTTGGTTCCAGAGTGCCTTACAGATGAGAGGGAGAGTGAATCTGGACCCAAGAAGAAGCAGTAGTAAAGGATAAGCTGAATCTTTCCCTTATTAGTTACATCCCCTTTAATGCCCTCTCTCTTCCTCTCCTGCCTGTTTTTATCCTTAGTAGTGTTAAAAACCCATACTGACCTTGTTGAACATGGATTTGAAACCCTGAATGGTAAAATTAGCAGTGTGGTTGTGGGAGGAAGAAGTGGGAATGAGCTAGCCTTTGAATACAAGCTCAAGAAATGCACGAACAGCCCATTCCAGCCTTGTTCAAACCAAAATATTATGATATGGTGCCATGAAAATTGTTACTGTTAAGAGAACATGAAGTATATACAGGTTCATCCCACCCCAGACATGTTTCCTGTCATATATTTTCAACAACTGATTTGCATTGCCTCAGATTGTATATATGCAGGCTCTGACATTGTGCATGAGTTTGCTGAAAGTAGAAGGAAAATAGGCTTCTACCCTCTGGCAAGTGAATTAATATTTGTCCTGGAAATGAACGTGCACCCCCCACGACTGCAAAACTTGGCTGAAAAGTCTGTTCAAAGGCAAAGAGTCCTTCCCGCAGCATTTTCAGAAAGGGAGATCCCCTTTTCCCATGTAACTAGGCAGGGGGGCAGCACTCCAGTGGTTCTGCTGAGAGATGGATTTAGAGCAGTGGTCCCCAACCTTGTGCCTCCAGATGTTCTTAGACTACAGCTCCCAGAAGCCTTCACCACCACCTCTGCTGGCCAGGATTTCTGGGAGTTGAAGTGCAAGAACATCTGGAGGCCCAAGGTTGGGGACCACTGATTTAGAGGGTTCTGCAGGTAGACTCCACGATGAGAGTGTATGTTGGAAAATGACCTAAGTGGTGAACTGGGTAGAGGTCAAAAAGGAGGGGAGGGGACTAGCTGTGGAAGGCAACCACTATTTGTTTAGCATTGACTTATTCTGTAATTTGGCCTCATAGGTCTGTGGCCTGCACATTTCTTTAAACCCATCACTGTTCCCATTGGTTTTTCTCACCTGTCAGCGGAACTAATTATGTCAGTGGTGTGTTGACTGAGTTCATGGAGCCTTGTGATTCCTCACAAGCTGACTAGGGGTTGCCTGATGAGAAAATCAGTGGACAATCTTTCTTGAAAGACAACATTCTTCACCATTACTGGACTCTCCTTAACAATGCCCAGGCACAGGAGTATGCTGATGATGTTCTGACTCGCACAAATCCTAACAGGCCCCACAGAATCCATATATGACAAGGGTGGCCTTCCAGCATTACTCTGCCCTTACTGTCCGTAGCCACGTCATGGCTTGGTTCCACAGGAGATGTACAGGAGCTCTTTGGCAGACAGGCCAACATGCAATGACCTCCCAGAATACAGAATGTTTTATAACCACTAGATTATATGCTTTCGTTTACTGTATTGCCTCTTTCTCATATTGACATGATTAGGCATGTTCTGGTGTTATATATACAGTTTATCTTGCAATTCAGCTGGATTTAGAAGGTTCAGCTATATTTTGCATTTTGTTTCCCATTTCCTTAGTGATTATTAATAAAGCTGTGAATAGGCCATAGCTACGTGCTGGAAGCAACAAGGATACCTATGATTTGTGATAGCTTTCTTAGCTACCATTTTTAGAAGGTTCCTGGAGGGAGAGAATGATTGGTTAATAATTGAGCGGAAGGAATCAGAAGTCCAACTTTCTTTCCTGCTTTGAGCACTGGCATGGAAAAGGAGGATTTGTGGACTCTTTCGGTTTATTATTTCACTTTGACAATTGGTAATTTCCCTCAGCTTTGCATGATTTGCTTCAGAAGTGTCTTGGACTGAATACAACACTAACTCTTGGTGTGTTGCTTTTGTTTCTAGAAACCTCAGATCCCACAGGGATAAACCCTGAGAAGGAGAAATATATGCTAAATGACAGGGGTAAATAACATGCATAAAATGTTGTCGGCTAAATCAATATCAGCTAAGTAAGGTTAACAAGGAAGAAAAATGTATGTTACTGCAATTTATTTATATGACGTTAATTTTAAATTGATTTGCTATAGACTAGACTTACAAGCAAGATTTTATTTCTTCCCCAGTAGTAATTTCTACGTTGTTCAAACAGATTCTAAGATGTGATAAAATCCAATTTTCTGTAGCAGTTGAAGAGAGATCAGCCAATTAATAAGTTCTGTGTAAGAGTGTGCCAGTACTAATATGCCCAGGATAGTATATCAAGGGACCCGGCATGATCAAGTCTCAAACAACATTTGGGATAATAAACTATACATATACTGGGCTATGTGAACATTTGGCATAGTTTTTAAATAGCTTTCTCACTTTTAAGGAGCAATTTTCTGGTTGTTTTTTTTTTTTAAATCCATGGTTATTCTCTGTGCATCTGCTGAGGTTTGTTTGCAGAGCATATGGCATTTTAAATACATGTGTAGGATATGTTTCAAGCAACTCTGCAAATGATATTTAAGGTGCCTAATCCACTCAGCTGAGCTTTGCCCTCCCTCACACGCTCAGGTGCTCTCCTCTTGGCACATTTAATGCCACAAAGCAAGAAAGGAATCCAGGGAGGCTGTCCCCGTCAATGCTGTGTTATACAGCACATTTTTAAAGGAGCAATCATCACCTGAAAGCCACACTGCTGCTTCCCTTTTGGTTCTAAGAGCCACGAGCTTTGTGTTAAGGCATGCCCATGTGGGGACCAGCCCTGGCCATAATGGGTTCAAGGTTACTGCTTTCATGGAACCTGCATGTGTACACTCAGGCAGAAGTTCTTGTACACATTACACAGAACTCTAGAAAAAGAGGTGCTGGATTATATGTGCAAGAGCCTGCATGCAGGGAGATGCACACACCAAGACACCATTCTGGGGATTCATTTGAATATGTGGAGAGTAGGTTTTAGGACTGGCAAGTGGACCCTGGCCATTAGTCCACAAATAACACGAGCTGACCTGGGCCGCATGCGGCCCTCGGGCGGCGGGTTGGACAAGCCTGCTCTAGGGCCATGTTCTGGCTATGTTTGTATAAATGGCATTTCTAGCAATATTTATCTGATTGTCTGTGTAATATGACCTTCAAACAAGCAGCGACAATCCAGATCTGTTTGACAGGGATGAAGGATCAAAAACTGCAGGACAGTTTCCATTTTCTCTTGCAAGCTTATAGGAAGGTCAAAGCACAAGATTAGCAAGCTGTGAGGAATAAAGACATCCACAATTGTAATGATGATAACTAATTCAAAATATTTGCTCTGAGAAATTGTGGTCCTTTATTACAGTACATGAAGCACAGAGCAAGTATAGTTATTCTATTTAATTTCAAATTAGCATAGTCATGCATGGGAATAAGAATAACAGCCACTGATTCATTAATTTGAACATGTAACCTTTTTTTTTCTCAGCTGTTTTTAATAAGTAGCTAATTTGTCTTTTCTTCTTTAGATCCAACATTCTTTCTTGCTTGCTTCAGTGTTGCTGCTGGACTTGCATTGTTCATGTACTGGAACCCAGGTATTACTCTGCAATCTTTCTTTCTAAATGTTTCTTTAAAGCAGGTAGCCATGTTTAATTGACATGTTTTGGAAGCGTTCTAGTACAAGGATCAAGAAGGGATGTCTCAGGGGACAAGGATCTATACTAAACCAGTCACATAACCCGCGGTTACACATTTTGGTAAGGCTAACAAGTTCTTTGTAGGCCATCTGGAGGTTGGAAATATAAACTGGGTGAGGAAGAATTCTACTGCTCAGACACATGAATGATCATAGAAAAAAAAATGTTGCTCTCAGCAAGAGACACTCCCCTCCAAGTCTTGGCAAGCTAAAGCATAAAATAAGCCCACCCAGGGGAGTCCAGAATTGGGGTAAATGTAGCACAGAGATCTAGCAAATGGAATCCTATATGAAGGCACAGTGCAAAAGCAATCCAGAATCAAGCTGGTCCAACTGTACCAGAAACGAAATGGGAAGAGACAGACATGTGTAGTCAAGCAGCCCAACATCAGCAGGCAGTCAAGGCTCATGACATACAAGGTCTGGAGAAAGAATTGTTTGAAAGGATTGTTTTCAGCAAAAGTTTTAGCCCCAGAATAAGGTTTAACTAGCTGAGTTAACTGGAACCACAGCTAGAGCTCAATGCAAGCATCTGGCCAGCTTGAAAAGGAACTCAGCTGTAGGATTTGGCCCACTGCTCACCCTTGTAGGATTAGCTCTCCTTCAGGAAGACCACCTATTCTTGAGAAGGCGTTTTATTCCAAAGTGGCTTTTCTTGATGCCGAATAATTCCCCTGACAGGTATCAAGCCAAATCATGTCTTAATCAGATGATATTATTGTAGGTTGGGTGCCTTTCGGGAGAGTTTAGAGTTACTGACATACTCTTCCTGTGTACTTTGTAATTACTGCTAGTGTTTCATACTTCAGCAATTTTAGGAATTGTTTTTCCTCATGTGTTTGGTAATATTAAAAATCCAGGAGGCAGTGGAAGACAGAAGACAGGAGGGCCTGATGTACTCTGGTCCATGGGGTCACAAAGAGTCGGACACGACTTAACAAATAAACAACAGCAACAAATATTAAAAATGAGTCAGTTTTTATTTATTTATTTATTTAATTTATACCCCTCCCATCTAGACCGAAGTCTACTCTGGGTGGCTAACAATAAAAAATAGAGTAAAATAATAATAATAAAGTAAAAAAAAAACAATAGCAATGTAGTTCATGATAGGAAAAAGAAAAAGAAAAAAAGAAAGAAAGAAAGAAAAATTTGAAATGTTTGAAGTAAAAAGTAAGATCAGTGGGAAAGATACTAAAAGCCATGAAAATTTGTGTTTGAGAATTTAGTAACCACAACTGATTTGGTAATCTAGAGTTCATTTCTGTTTTACTGAGTGTTAAATAGTAGATGTGACTTTTCGCACGAATATTCAGTTTGTGCAAAAAATAATCCATGGCACAATTGGTGAGTAAAAAAATCATCTCTATGAATGGTTACCCCTCTTTGTTACTTAAATTTACAAGCTGATGTCTACAGCAGCCTTCCCCAACCTAGTGCCCTAAAGAGATGTTCAGCAAATCTCGCAATCTGCATCTAATGTACTGGGTAAAGGTTATGGGAATTATAGTTCAGCACATCTGGAGAACCTAAGGTTGGGGAAGATGGGAACAGAGTAATTCTTGGGCAAACTTGGCAAGATTTTGTGTGTGGAATATTATGTGTTGAAACAGAACCAATTATGGCTGCATAAGTGTTTTGCTCTAACTTTTTCTTCTTCTATCCCGTCCCTCATTTTTGTTTTGTTCCAGATTCAAAAGTTCTGGGAGGCGCCAAAAAGGTGCTGGGCTTTTCCCCGATCATCATAGGAAGACACGTTAGAAACATTTGTATGTTATACATGGAAGACTCAACAAGGAAATCATAAGTGGGGGGGGGGCTCATGGTTGGGCATTGAAGGTCCATGCCATGGAAGGGCTGCATTGCAAACCAATGTGCTGTTCTCTTAAACCAAAGAAATCATTCTGCCCAAGTCACACATGCTTACCTTGCTGTAAGTCCCATTGGGTTTAAGTCTGAGTAGCAGTCATGCTGTAAGTAGTGTAGGACTGTGCTGGAAGTGGCTTTAGCAGTGTATCTTTTCTGCTTTAAAGGGCTTTCAAAGGCCAACTGTATGTGCCTTTAACTTGGGAGAGTGGATCCGTTTATTTTTATACAAACTTATTTTAAACTATTTATCACTTGAATAGCATATACTTTTTAATGCAAGCATTTTAACATGCCATGTTGCAAAGTCTTAACCATCTGATCAGATGTATTAGTACTTGATTTAGGTGCGGAGGGACATACAAGAGTGGTTTCTGGTCCTGAATGGACTGTGTGGTCACTCAGATTTGTGCCTATGTTTGGGTCCCTGATGCCTCTCTCCAAGGAACTGGATGCAGCTGTTTTTATCCAAACAACCTGTGAGTGCTTCTGAATTTCCCTCCTTTGTGGAGAACAAACAGGACTCCACTTAATGCAAGTGTATCCTGTAGCTCTTGAATTGATGCTTTTGAATTGTGGTGCTGGAGGAGACTCTTGAGAGTCCCCTGGACTGCAAGGAGAACAAACCTATCCATTCTGAAGGAAATCAACCCTGAATGCTCACTGGAAGGACAGATCCTGAAGCTGAGGCTCCAGTACTTTGGCCATCTCATGAGAAGAGAAGACTCCTTGGAAAAGACCCTGATGTTGAGAAAGTGTGAAGGCAAGAGGAGAAGGGGACGGCAAAGGATGAGATGGTTGGACAGTGTCATTGAAGCAACCAAGATGAAGTTGACCCAATTCCGGAGGCAGCGGAAGGCAGGAGGGCCTGGCGTGCTCTGGTCCATGGGGTCACGAAGAGTTAGACACGACTAAATGACTAAACAACAACAACAATCCTGTAGCTCTGTTTAGGTGCCACAGAAGCACACTGAATAAACTACAATGGTGGGTGGGAGCAGCTGGCTAGCTCTGTGCTCTTCTTCAAAAGCATTGCCCTCTGCAAGGAAGAGAAAAGACTTGACTGTCTTTGGAGGCTTTTCTCACAGTTTGGAATACTGGAAAGTCAGATCTTCCAAATTGCTTGGAAGGAGAAGACAAACAGGACTCGTAAAGAGAAGGTAGACATGAGGGGCCTAGCACACTCCTCAACTCCCCAGCGTGTATATTCAGTCTGTTTTCAGAACTCTTAAATACGGCTTGTGTGTTACTGGTGGGGCACTTGCATGCTGCGGATCCTGTGCCTTGTGCATCAGTTCCTGCATTTGCCATGAGAGGCAGGTCCCTTGGTGCAAATGGGTCACACACTCAGGTTTTGGCAACAAACATCTTTTGGGCACCACAACAAACAAATGGACCCAAAGCCTTGTTAAGGCACAGAGTGTGTGGTTTTACCTTCAAGTGTCAGGACTGTGTGTTCTTTCTCTTTCTCGGCATATACTCTGCAAGCTCAGAGTGACATGAATATCTCAGATTAAAGGAAATGGTTCTATATGTGTTTGCTAGTCCAACTGTGCAAGCTTTCATACCATCTCCTAGCCCTGGTTCCATGGTCACCATTTTGATGTATAAAAAGGAATTTATCGGAGTCCAAATCTCTGACTTCTTCATATGTTCATGACTAAATTAGTGGAGAGTGGATTGCATCTTTCAAAAGTGTTCATTTCTGTTCTTCACAGTGTCTGCAGCAGTGTTACCAACATGACTAAAAGAAAAACCCAGTGCACTTTATTTTTGGAACCCAATGAATATGTGCCTTTAGCATCTATTGCCTTTAATAGCTATTGTATAGGTTCATTTGACTGTTTATAAGAATGTCACTCATACAACCCATAAAGTGTCTTAATACTAGAGAGACTCTGAAGCTATCCGTGGATCCACCCACAACTGAATGTATCAAATATTCCATCATTCTTCCTAAGTGATAATCCTATAATGTTCCTTCTGTCATGATTCATTGGGGAAATGTTTTAATGTTCTTTTTCTTTGAGTAGGCTTCTGAGAGTTACTGTTTGTTTGTTGTAAGTTCCACAGATGCAGTTCTGTTTGTTGCAGCAAGCACAATACAGGATTTTATTGTGAATTTAAGGTGAACTGGCTTGCTTTTGCATAATGTTTCATGAACCATGGCCTCTCTAACACACCTGATAAGCCCATGAAAACTTATGCCATAACTTGTTAGTCTTTCAGGTGCCACCAGGCTGTTTAGATTCAATTAAGGTTCTTTGTTTGTGTATCAGAAAAGTTAATTTGGGCATACTTTCTACAAACTATTTTGAAATAGGGAAATCAAAGCTTCATGGGGTCTTGTATTTGTTTGCCTTGCTGAGAGCTTATTTGATCTGAGACATTTGCATTACTGTGTACTTTAAGCAAGGGTCTGACTTTTGTTTAAAGGTATAAGCTCTTGCCAGGAACCCTATAGATGTGCTGAATTAAAGGGTCTCATTGTCATCTAAAAGGCTTATCAGAAAGGGCAGAAGAAGCTACAGCCAGTAGAAGTGTGATTGCTTTGTGCTTCCTAGAATCACCACAAGATGGGGAGCATGCACTACAACTAGCGTGTGAGTTTCTTTGTGATCAACCACATCATTTCTTGGAGGGTTTTTTTCTTTGTTTGTTTCTCTTTTTTTTTTTTTTGTTTGCATATATTGCACACAATCAAATCAGCCTTGCTTCTAACTTGTCTTTTGGGGAAAAATACAATGTCTACATTCAGGAATCATAATTAAATATCCTTTTACTAAACCTTTCTTTCTTTCTTTCTTTGTTTTGTTTTTTGTTTTGTTTGCATATATTGCACAAAGGATTAGTTTAGCAATCAAATCAGCCTTGCTTCCAACTTGTCTTTTGGGGGAAAATACAATGTCTACATTCAGGAATCGTAATTAAATATCCTTTTACTAAAATACATTCTTCATTTTTTCTGCACTGTATAGAAAAAGTGCTGGGTTTTTTGGTCTTGAGACCTAAATTTAATTGTGAGAAAATGCTATACAGCAGGGGTGGGTAAAGCATACACCTTTTGTAGCCACTGCCCCCCCCCACGAATCTCAGTATTTTATTAAGCAACAGAAAATTAGCACTGCAAATTGCAGCTTTCCAATCACGTTGAGCTTTAAAAAACTTTAGTTAGTATTAGTTTATCTTGCCTTAAAGATAGTGTACCTCTTTTATTTTTGTCTAAAATTCTTTCCTTCATAACCTATATAATACAAGGGTGAAATCTCAGGTGAACTCCTCCAGACTTAGACATTTTTCTATGGAAAAGTTTAGAATCAATCTGTTTATACTCCACGGGACAGAACGTTACAACATTATTCTCAGGTTTGTCAGTTGTCAGCTATGTCTCTTGCAGAGGGAGGAACTTGGTATCTGTCAGTTTCTCATTCTGCCAGTATTCTGTTTGTTGTGTCCTTTTCCCTATATTATTTTGCAATTCTTATTCTCCCCCTCCCCCACCCAAAAAGTCTGCATGAAATTTCCATCCATTTGCATTTCCCTCTCTGCGGTTTTGTATGCAATTTTGCCTAAGACATGCATTTTGCAAGCATTTTCCTTTATTTACTGTATTTATTTTTAATACTGTTTTTTTACCTTGACCAAAAATATAGTACATACATGTCTGTGCTCATTTATTTTTTGGAAAGCAAAACAGCCCAAATCTTTGAACCCAATTAGATCAGTGGGTCTTATTTTTATAATAATGTCCTTAAAATTAGTGTCAGACACATTTCCTCACACAGGAAGATGTAATTATTTAGCTACCAATCTGCCCGTGCCCACTGATTTTAATTACTTCTTGGAGGGAAGTACTTTAGATGACTTTGTGTAGTTTCCTTTTGAAAACAGGGGATTTATTGCAGAAAGGAATAACTTTTACTTGTGCTTCAAGAACTCCTGTAATTAGGGACTGCGTCAGGGTGGCATACACCTAAAAGTTATTGGAAACCTTGGCTGGTTTCAAAGCTCCCTGATAAGATCAAAGCTAGGGGCAAATAAGTCAGGTTTGAAATTTAGGTTATTATTGCTGCAGTCAAGTGTGGAGGTAGCTTTGAACTGTCACACTGGCTGTTTGACCAATACATCAGCCTGCTCCCAAGAACACAACTCACATTACCATGTGAGAAGCCTCTCAAAAGAGAAATTGCATTCCCCTCCTCAAGAGGTGGGAGTTACAAAAGATTTACTCCCTCTCTCTCTTCTGATTGCTGTGGAGGAGGAGGAGGAAATAGTCTTGGTGTCACCTGGAATATTCTGGGGTTCGGTTATACATTATCCACAAGCATAAAAATGCTGGAAAGGTCAGCCGTCTCTCTTCTATGATAGACAGAGGTTCCCTCACCCTGTAGTCTAACATGCCACTAAGATGCTCATGGCGTGTGTAAGGGCAATGTTCATCCCAAAGTAATCTCTTTGGAGTAAGAGCTTGCTGCCCTGCCCTGCCTTGTCCCACCCACCCCATCAGCCATTGCTTCTAACACATCATGTGCAAGGCTGGGTTTGGAGCATGGCTCCGAAATCTTTCCTCTTTGGACCACCATTCCTCAGCCAGCCCAGATTTTGAGAGGTTATATGTGCTGCCCTGCTGTCAGCTCACCTAAACCATTGAACTTTCATGAAAGAAATAAAAGAGAGTTAGCTTCTGCCGCTCTCTGCATATTTACTTTAAAACAAGTATCTGCAACTGTGTGAGTGCCTGGCCAGTCCCCTTATTTTGAAAAACAAAAATGTAAGATGAAAGGTTGCCGAAAAAGCCTCCATAAGCCGTCTGGACATTCCTAGGTTGGCCAGGAATTCTCACAAGTCTTGCTTGCTGATGGGGGTCAGTTGAGGTCATGCAGAGCCCCAAACTGCCCAGCCCTGGTTGCAATATTGATTAGTGTCTGAATATAGTAATACTAGAATCATAACTTTTGAAGACATTCCTAATAATAGTAATCTTAGAAGTGCAGAGCTGGAAAGGTCCTTGCCAGCCCTGGTTGCAATATTGATTAGTGTCCGAATATAGTAATACTAGAAGCATAACTTTTGAAGACATTCCTAATAATAGTAATCTTAGAACTGCAGAGCTGGAAAGGTCCTTGTGGAGTCCAGTCCCGATGAGAGGCACAGTAGAGAATTGAACTCCCAACCTCTTGCTCCACAGCCAGAGACCTAAACCACTGAGCTATTCAGCAGTTCCTAAACATTATCTCATCCAGTCTACTGGCAGTGTAGGATACTTGCAACTAACGCACGCTGACAGAGAGCCAAAAAACAAAGACAAAAAAATCCCACCCCTCCAACGCAGGAGAGTCTATCATTTTCCAAGGCAGTCCCTGCCATTGCTGAACAGCTCTTAAAGGTACTTTGGATGTGCAAGGTCTCCCCCCCCCCATACAGAAGTGGTACCTGGGTGTGTGTTTTTAAAAAGACTCCTGTCAACAAACAACTGAAAACTTGATTGTATGTATTGTTTTATGCCACAGCCTATGGAACTTCTTGAAGTCAATTGCAATGTGTCAGGGCAGCCTTGTTTCAAAGTGAACTGATCCAGGGAAACTGGCTTGAAAAATCATACCAAGCTTTCCATCTGAAAACCAAAAAGTTGCTAGGCAAAAAATACCTCAGGAAAGCTATTGGGTTCTTCCCCCCACCCCATTGGAGTGATGTTTATGTCCCAGTCAATGTTAATGGATTAGGTTTTTTTTCCCCAGTGGACTCTGGTGTTTTTCAAATAAAACAAACATATGGAAATGGAGGGGAAATGACTTCTGACATTCCCTTGTTTTGGCTTGTGGAATTTTTGCTATCCTGTTGCAAATGGTTCTTTGGGTAGTTAATGCCCCAAATGATTTGTGCCACTTTCCCTTTTTCTATTGAAAAAAAGTTAAGACTTTAGTAGAAATATTTTGCTTCTGTTCCCACTTGCAAGGATAGCATAACAGCCTTAAAATGTTGGATAACACACCATGCTGCACCTGATGATGTGGACTGTAACATATAAGTAGACTATATGTTATGAATTTTTATTGTAGGCCTATAAGATGCCACAGAATACCATTTCTTTTTCTGTTGCAACAAACTAAGACAGCCACCTCCTTTGGAAATCATACTCTGTATTTGTTGTACACATTTTCTGCAGTCTTATTTCCTATTTATTTTCTTTCAGTGGAATAAATGGTACAAATGGGGACATGTTTGTGATAACACTGCAAGTGCCAATCTGTCAGCACTGTGTGTCTGCTTCGGGTTTGCACAGCTCCCACCCCACCAAAAGCTTGACCTTAGAAAGCTTTCCCCATGGGTCCAGATGTATTGGACAACATGGTTGCTGGGTGAGGATGATGGGTATTGAAGTTCAGTGCATCTGGATGCTAGCAAGTTGTAGGATGCACATTTGAAATGAACATAATGGGAGAGTTTACAGAGCACCTCACTTGCATTTTCATGCAACATGTTCTGATTCACTCAGGAATTCTGCTGCACTTCCTGCATCGTTTGACTTGATATTAGGCTCAGGTTCCACTTACCACAGTAAATCCCCAAGGTGTTCGCTATAGAAAAGGGAAACATTAGTTATATGTATCTCTTAAACAACTTTTCTAGTCTCTGTGTGTAATAATGTGTATATCACTATCCCCAAAATGCAAGGTGTTTGACACTCTGAGAACTTGCTATAATACTCTTCTCAGGTGTATGGCCAGTATGAATGAAGGAAAAGACAGAAAGCTTTGCTGACACTGGACTGTGTGCTATGCCGTAATACTCCTGTTGTTCTTTTTAAATATGTAATGGACATGGTTATGTGACATTAAGAAAAAAATAAAATAAAATTTCTCTGTTAAAAACTAGAAGTAGTCTCCTGATTTGAAACACCTCTCTAGTAGAATAAGCATGGGTGTCCTTTTTGTATTTGATCATTAACTTTGAGTTCAGATAATTAAACAGCAGGTCCCTCCCAACAGAACTCCATTTGGATGCAAATATATGTGAAGCTGACCCTCATGGGAAGGTGGCTCTTTTTTCTAGGCAGAAGACTCTAGTAGTGCAGGGAACACAAACCCAGAGTAGAAAACTCTGCTGGGACTAGATACCATAATTTCTTGGGTTCAAAGACCCTGTCCGTACCCTACCACTAGGAGCAAAGGGTGCGTTTGCCAATCACTTCTAAATTATAGGGGCTTACCGAGTGGAATTAGCTCTTGCTTTGTATGTTTCTCCTCCTCAAGTGAGTAGACGCTGTGCACTGTGAAAATCCAAGGAAGAGAAGCAGTGCTGGCTCCACACAAACCCCAACACCAGTACTATTGCCAGCTACTTCTTTCCTTTTTATTTACTTGTTTTTTATGGAACTCAAAGCAGCTCATGGTCAATTAGAACTACTCAACAAACATGACCTCCAAGATCCATTTCAGAGGCCCAAAGGGATGCCATGGTCAATGAAACTGAAAGCCACTGAGAGATCCAGAAAAACTAACATAGACATGCTTCTTCTCTCCAGTTCCTGGTGTGGGTTATCCACAAAGGTAGCCAAAGCTGTCTCCATCCAATGATTAGGCCTGAAGCCACATTTAACTTAGATCTAGAGAATCAATTTCATCCACACACACTCCAATGCCTTGCCCAGAAATGGAATATTGGAGACCTAATGGGGTTTTCAAAGAATGTGAGATACTTAGAAAGTGGTTCTACCTCCAGTTAGATTCCATTGCTGAATAGGGATTTGAATCCAGGTCTTCTGAGTTAAGAACCAGTGTGCTAGTCCATACTGGCTATTAGAGAGTTACAGACCCCAAAGGTAATTTCACTCCAAAATCTGGGTCAACTCTGGTGCTGCCTGCTCATACCCCTTTTTGGAAGTGCTCAAACCTTCCGGCCCCTTTCAGCCCTCAGTCTGCAGCACCTTTGACAGCACCCGATGGCGGTGATGGCAGCAGTGATGGTAGCAGCACTGCCGTGAGATTCTAAGACTTTTCTTTCTCATGGAAACAGCAAATGGATCCCAAAAAAGGGCATTTTTTTTCCTGGACAAACAATAAGTATGTGGAATACAGTATGTGCCAAATCCATAGTTTCTGACACTGAATGCATAATACAGAAAAAGTTTTGCAGCCGGTCCCGTGGTGTAATGGCCAGCACTCTGGACTCTGAATCCAGCGATCTGAGTTCAAATCTCGGTAGGACCTTTGTTTCTTTCTGTGGCAGATCTGCGGATCCCTTTTTTTTCAGCAAAGCAAATCCTTGTTTTGAAGTGCATGTTGCTTTGGTCCAGAGCTTCCTGCATGGGGATATGTTGGTGCACTAAGTGGTGATGTGACATTATGCAAGATTTCCAATCTTGAGCAGAATTCAATTCCTGGCTGGGGCAGAACTTATTGATTCTTCTTCCATTCCCTGGGGGCATAGGACACCCTGGATTTTTGGAAGCTGTCCACCTATCTCAAGATAAGGGTTCAGGAATCTGCAATCACCAAGTCTTCTGTGGTACCATCAGCGGAAAAGAAGTGCTTTGAGATAGACTTGACTTCCCAAAAAGCTGAGGAAGCAGAAGTTGGTTGTTGTAGGTTTTTCAGGCAACCATCGGATCACGGCTGTGAAAGCCTTTGAGAATACATAGCAGAAGTTGTTTGAGATTTGAAACCAGTTTTTCTCAGATCCAAGATCCCAATGATTGAACCAAACACTGTAGATGGTGCGTCATTACAAGCTGATAGCTCATATTCCAGAGAGATGATTCTGGAAGATTGTTATGTAAACAAAGCCACTGGCCCATCACAAAACAAAGCAAACCAATTGCAAGCCATGGGAGCTATGACAAGCTCCTACTGGGGCAGTCAGATACAGTATTTTCCCGCATTTCAGGAGTTCACTCTTCCAATGACATGCCATCTGTAACAAACAGTTTGACCCCTAAATAAACCAACTTGACTGAAAAGAATGCCTCTCCCCTCTTTTTGGGCCAAACATGAAGGAACATTTGCTGAGGTAATGGTTTCCTGTTTTGACTGCATATTGCTGAAATAGCTCTGAGATACAGTAGCTCTCATAGTGTAGCAGCAGAAGGCAACAATGCCCAACAGGGTGTTTCTATTGCATTAGTGGCATAGATGTGAGATTTCAAGTTATATGAGCTGAAGTTTCAGCTGGTACAAAATGCATCCCTCCCCCCTCTTTTTTTTAGGTTGGGAAAAGGAAGGCGGTGGCCAGAATCCTCTTGAGATTAAACCTCAGAGTCAATCAAATTTTGGAAGTAATGCATGATCAACACCTTGTTAATTTACTGCAATTCACCAATGTGAAACCGACATTATTTCACTTACTCCAGAATAAAATTACAATAGGATTCTGGCTGTTGGCTTTTCTGCTGGCAGTTCATCCTCTTGCTTATGCAAAAGAAGACAGGAGATGATGGCAGTACTGTAGCCAGGCTGCCCTGTGTAAGTATCCAGCACACCAACATTCTTGGGTCCACCTCTCAGTGGTGCCTGCTTGTGTGCCATGTTAAGGTCTGAACTCACTTTCCTCAACAATCCAGCAAAGCAGGTTCGCCTGGGATTCAATCTTAGGACCTCTCTCATCTTATGTGAAGAGTTTTTGACCAAAAAGCTTGGCTGGACACAAGGCTCTTCTCCCTTCCTAGGCAAAAGGAGAGCTGACAAGAAAGCTACTAAGCTTCATGGTTTGTTGCTTGAGTTGTATACTGCAGAAAGACCTTATAACAGCTGTGCTTTGCGTCCAGAACTCTGAGTTCAGACTTTTGGGGACTTATATTTTGTCATTTTTATAAATGCCCGGGTGAACCCTGAGGTTTAAACTATTTTGAAATGACAAAGGACAAGATATGATATGATATGATATATATATATAAGAATATGGTTATAGTAGAATGAGATTATGTTCTCTTTCTCACCCTGTGAATCTCTGTGAAGATTCTCAGTCATCCAGGTGTGGTTATCTGGAAGTTGAGTCATGGCAACTGGACTTAGAATACAATATATCATATCATATCATATCAATCATATCATATGTTGCGCTTTGTTTGTCATTTCAAAATAGTTTAAACCTCAGGGTTATATATATATTTGAAGAAAATGGGGACAGTAGAATGAGATTATGTTCTCTTTCTCACCCTTCCTTTTTAATTATTTTAAAAACTGATAAAATATGAAAGTATTTTAAATAAAGCAATAGTTCCAAAGAAACAAAATAAAAGGAATTGAAAACAGTGTCATGGCAAGCTTTTCCCAGTAAACTGCGTTCCTGAACAACTATGTGTAGAGAAGGGAACC